AGTCGAGATGTATTTGTTGGCGATCTCGTGGTATCGAAAGAATACCGAGATCGTGCCAAAGGATTACAAGCGTGGTTACTGAGCGTAACCGAATTCGTACAAGTTCAAAGTCAACGGGAGAGTGAGTGTAATGGCTGTCATTAGCATAGTTAAACAAACGAGCACAGTAAAACAGTCACTGGTACAATTGGTTATAATAATAATTGTTTTCATTGAACCAATCGCGTTCTGTTGACAAAAGTATGTCACTACAGATCTATCTATACTAAGGCATAATAATGACTGTTAATCACTCTATTAATTATGCTAACTAGAAAATTACTAATAAACATAAATAAATGAAATATTTAACCTTCCGACTTCCATGCTCTGCAATCTGGTTTGGCGACTGTTTCGCAAACACTTGTTATGTCGATGATTTATCATAGCATTGAAGAGGGATTATATGTAACACACATATTAGGTGTGAGACCACCCAAAATCTGCTACAATGACATATGAGATGTAATCAGGGTGTAACTCGCTTAAAACATTTGTGAGGATAAATAACATTTGATATGGGTCCATTAGGACTATAAGTAGATTTGAATCCAGTGAGAATTTGTGCATCATATTGACTAACTTTTCACTAGAAACAAATGCATCGTGAGAACAAGCAACATTTGTTGTAATATCGCGGGAATTTGGTTCATTCAAAACATTTTTCTCAAACTCATTAAGGACTTCATTAGTAACTAATGAATCATCAAGATAGCCAGCATCTAATATGACATCATTAGGAATTTGACTAGAAATTGATTCATTTGAATCATTTGTCCCACTCAACGTGACTGGATAATTAGAACGAGGGGAATGTGATAAAAGAACATCTGAACCACTGCTTAGAGTCAACATTATCAAAGAATTCGTTGACCTCTTCCTCAATCACAAAACTCTTCCTTACTGAATTGTTTAACTCGTTAAGTGTATTTAGAATTTTTGAGTGCGATTCCGAATTTCATTGTTTAAGTATATGTTCCTTCAATGCACCGACGAGCATTAAGTGGGATCTGATGAACAAATAAATCTTCAATAAACTGAAGCATCCGTCTTACTTCTGCCGCTGAAACTGACATGTTCTTACACTAGTAACCGCGTCGTTTATCGTAACAGACTTGATAAATAAGAGCAGAATTATATTTCTAACTGAGGGAACAGGATTTGGGGTAAGTTAAACTGAAAACTGGGTTATAACTGGAAACAGACAGTTATGTTGGAAACTGAAGCTTGTAAATTGACCCAGTCAATGATTGTTGTGGTTTCCTTTTTTACGAAATTCCCGTCTTCAGTCGTTCTATCTGGTCATCGTTAATTGTTATGTCAGAATCGCTCATCACTTATACTTGTAAAACGATGAACCACTGCAATTCCCATGACGTGAGGAACACCAAGACCGGTACCCCAAAACATAACAACGAACCTAGTCAACAATAAATTCGTTTATATATTGACTGTACACCCATTTTGATTATTAATTAGGATGAAGTCACATACATGAAAAATACGTCGAGTTATAACAGATCATATGCTGCATATCATGTTGAGCATAGTTCATGTTAACTTAATATAAAAATATCGTATCTTGAACAAAAATCACAATGAGTAAAAGAATGTAACTTTGATTTTTTTAACCCCACCATATTGTAAACTACTAATAAATGCAAATATTTTATTTTGTGTTTATTTCAGTTATTTACAAGCTGAATGGAATACACGCAGATCAGCCCAAGACGGTGTTCTCCGCTTCGATAAGGATACAATTCGAGGTTTTAGTCCTCGAGTGCCTGTTCAGAGTAACCTGGTTGATTGTGGAATCTACCTACTTCATTACGTGGAAATGTTTTTCAAGGTGAATTTATTTATTTAGACACATCGTAGTTAATCATAGGTGTAAACTTGGTTTGTTATTGTTAACCCGTAACTTGTAAATCAAAATATCGGTCAATTTATTTCAGGCTATCAAAGTGTGTAGGGCTCTTCGCTTTATGGGCTGGGCCTAATATGAATGAATCGTACCCGTGGTTAGAATTATATATTTATTATGTGTCTAGTGTGCTAATTCTGATGTAAACCTACCGAAACCAATCTTTGTACTGTAGTTACTATGTATACGAGGGTGTAAACTCGCATCTTCTGTATAATATTCGCTTATATAGATTTCTAAAATCATGTCAAAAAATTCTCTCCATATTATTGATCATTTATCCATTTCTTTGTATGTATTACCTTAGTAACTGATGACTCGTAACCCCTAATATACTTGTTGGATTGCGCTTAAAATTGTTTCATACGCGACCCTGCAGTTTACTTTTGTCGACAGTGTTTTCGTGAAATAATCTATCAATAACTGACCGAAAAGTCCATTCAATCACTTATTCGCTTTTTACCACTGGTTAATATATTTTTAGAAACCTGTTCAAAGTTATACGAAAGATTATTTCCAACACGAAATGGCTGGTTGGTTCCCAGAAGCTACTGTCAGTCAGAAGCGTGCCCAAATCCATGACCTTTTGGTTAACCTACGAGAGCGTACACTGAGGGAGAAGGTCAAAAACTGATTCCAATACACATTACTGTAACATTATTCCTTTTATTAATTTACGAAATTCAGTTCTTCAAATGGATATAACCACCCCATCTTCTTGTATATAACTACACTCCCATCGTTCCTCTTGCATTTCGATTGTCTTTTTCGACAGTGTGATTGGTTCGGAGACTACTACTAAAATATTAATGACACATTTTGTATTACAATTCTTTCAGTCGAATATTTTCCCTCTACCTATTTTAAAACACGGGGCTATCATCAAATGAATCTTTTAATCCATTTGTTAAGACTAACTGTGGATGTACTACTGTGTAATTTTCTAGTTTTACTATTTGTAATGCATCACTGACATCAACCATAACGGTAATTGTAAAGTTTTTTTTTCTGCACACTATTATTATTTTCATAAAAGTAGGAAACTAATAATGAGTATTTGTGTATGTTTCTGTGTTTCTCTATTTCCTAACTGCATTGTGTGTCACACAGGTGAAGTTATTAGTGGATATATCGACCAATCATGTGTAATAGATTGATGGACTATTGACTATACGTAGTCCTTTGAATTCGGTTGGGAATTCAAAAAACACTTAACTACAAACTTGATGAGTAACTGATACGGAAAGCGTATAAAGTTCTATGAACGTATGGAATAACACTGAGCAACCTACCTGTGTTTCCCACCTCCAGTAAAGTGTTGCACAGCCATAAACGAAAACAGGGCAAAGTACGTTGGATTTTCTTTGCTCGTTTATAGATAGACAGACAGACATCCTTTGTTCACCATACGTCATGAAAGTTTACAAAATTCAAAAAAGGCTTTTATTCGTGTCAAGATTCTGTGGGCTATCTATCGCACAATGCTAATGGAGCTGCCAAGGTGAGTATCGTCAGTGTGCTGAACTACTTGCCTTCATATGTTCAGACTAAAAGCTGGTCAATTGTAGCTCTAAAGCATTTCGAATTGTTGGAGACCCAACTAACACTAATGTAGTCCTCAGGACATTCAGAAGATTTCATTTCGCTGACGTCTTACTCAAACAGAAACATGCCACCTGAGTAATGTAAATTAAGTGATCTCACATTGCCAAATAATCGCCTATAGAAGGTTGTCCTTGGACGAAAGAGTTCATGTACCTATCCTGCAATAGTGTATGTCTTTAAAAATTTCTATCCACAACGTTCACACATTGAAACAGACCGAACAACGGACATTCACGGCTGAGACTAACGTCTCGCATCGGATGTGCAAAACGATGTCTCCTCGTTGTGTCCATCTATACTCTGATAATTATTTTACTACCGTCAAAGTAACTTTTTCTATGAATTCGGTGTCCATCTTGTGCTGTTGAAGTATGGCAATTTAGACTGGTGCATATAGGTGTCTGGACCTACATTGTAGCGGACTGAGAGCGATGGCAGCTTATTGATCCCAGGTCGGATAATGAGAACTGTTTTCCACAGATCGCAAGCTATCTGAAATGTCATGTCTTCCCTACCCAACTTAAGCCTGGGCTCATGGTGGCCATATTGCGACCAGCTACCGATGTCGCGGTTTCCATTTTAGAGTACCTTCTTGGATTTCAGTCATGTGCTGTGCCGTTCAACAAATTTATAATTCCAAAATATCAGTTGAAGAGAAATTGGATGCATTTATCATTGACATCAAACTGAGATAAGTTCAATGGTAGGAGGTAACTCGTTGGAAAGTATAGTTCAGCATGCACGCACCTACGGAACCCAATTTAAATAAAGATTAACATCACTCACGGCTTCGTGAAACGTCCCGTTGGTGAACACTGCTTTCCTGTGAAGTTCTTAAAGTACGGCACATCTATTACAGCAGATGGCCTGTTCAGCAATACAAATAAGATTTCAAAACGTCTCCGTAATGATCATAGAATCTGGTAGTGAGAGTCGGGACTGTCTATTCTACTTTGTTTTTTATCCCTTCATTTACGTATTTCCTTATTTGTTAAGTCTGTGGCTGAATTTGTATATTTGCCTAACTTGGACTTGTTTAATATTTTTACACTTTCCTATGTAAATTCCAAAGCTTTCCTATTATGACTGCCTAATGAACTCTTCTGTTACCTGACATCTGCTGTTTCAAGCCATCTGTTTCTCTGATCACAAGGTATTCATTTATCATCAGGACATGACGAGTTCAAGAAAACTACAACATCTGTTGAAATTAATATACTTGTGTGACCTGATTACATATATTTTACTTTACCATAGGCCATAAGCCACGAGGCATCTGAAACATAAAAATCTGTGAATTTAGAGTCGCTCGTCACAGGCATTTCTAAAAATAGACCAGATGAATCAAGCGGCGCTGTTAGAATTGTTGTTATTGTTTAAACCGACTTGGTGCCTGAAATGTTCGTTTTAAACATCCAAATTGCAAGGTCGATAACGATGAGTTTATTTCTGCGCTAGTTGTCTAATTGTTTTGTAACGGTATTAGAAATCGTTACATGTGACGTTACTAATGGGAGTTTGTTTTTTTATTGCAGGGCAACAAATAGTAAACGTACTAGAAGAAGAGGAACAAGCCTTACGAAAGATAAACCTGCAGAACAATAAGTAAACTTCGAACGGGCGTGGGTTCGAATCCTACCCACATCATACTTGTAGCACGTACTATTAGCGTTTATCTACGAGCAGGAGCGATCTGAAAAACAACACGATAGTCAGGACCGGTTAATACCACCGAAGCAAGAACACGGAGTAGACTCAACAGAATTTATTTATTTATTTATTTAAACACATAAATATTGGTACAAGGGGGCACCAAATATATATGTGCCACACAAAACAATGAGAATTTAAAGAGAAGGAAAAAGGTGTAAGGAACGTTGGGAATTATCAAAAAAAAGAGAGAGAGAACAATGATGAGGAAAACGGAAAGGTACAATCCGAAGAAATCTTTCAGTTAAGGAAAATACAACCACTTTTTATGAAGAAAGTAAAAGGTTACAGCAGGATCGCCACTGGCTTTTATTCTGAGCCATATCTGATAACGTCTCTAGCCACTGTGTTACGCCATCTCTAGGACCCCAGCCAGGGTGTCGTGAAGGACCAACACAAGCCAGCCCTTTGCAGCTTTCTTTCATACCACGACACCATGTCATATACTGACCACCTCTCCGCTTTTTCCAACCAGTCCCAGAGTCGGCAAATAATGCACGACGTGGAATTCTCTGGGACGACATTCGTAGAACATGTCCAAGCCACGGAAGTCGGTGTTTCAAGATGGTGACACTAATGGAATTATCGTCTCTGTGCCCGAACACACGATGCCGAACCTCTGCATTACTAACATGGTGTTGCCACTGAATGTCAGCAATCCTTCGGAGACAGCGATGATCGAGCACAGAGAGTCGTCTAACATCCTCAGCTCGGAGAGGCCAGGTTTCACAAGCATAGAGCAGAACTGCTCTCACCGTCGCGTTGTAGATCCGACCTTTTACAGCCAGACTAACATCACGAAGGCGCCAAAGATGGCCCAGATTGGCATAAACCGCTCTGGCTTTCACTATACATGCATTGATCTCATCACTCACGCCACCACCAGCACTTATGCAGCTAACCAGATATTTCTATCTGCTCACCATCCAGAGTGAGTACAGGATTAGAATCCTGCCAGTCTTGTAGAAGTACTTTGCACTTCGAAGGTGCCAAGCACACACCATACCTACGGATATTGATTGCCAACTGATTAAGTGCGGATTGCATGGCTTGGGCATTCTCGCACAGTAAGACAATATCATCCGCATACTCAAGGTTGAGAAGTCTTTCTCCAGGCAACAGATCCACACTACCATTACTTACATCCATCAGAGCTGTTTCCAGAATGTCACCGATGGCAAAGTTGAAGAGGAATGGTGAGATTGGGCAACTCTGCCTAACCCCATTGCTTGAATGGAACAATGGAGAGAGGTGGTTGTATGCCCTCACTCTGCCTGAGGTGTTTGTATATAGGGCTTTCAAGATGTTAATAAACTTCTCAGTCACACCCTTCTTCAATAGACAATCCCAGAGAACAGTTCTGTCCAACGAATCAAAGGCAACATGATGACACAACAGAAATATATTTAGGAATTGAAAGACGCGGTTCGAGTACAAAAAAGGGAATCTTATTACAAAATGGGTTTATTCATTGTTCTGCAGGTTCAGCATGCGTAAGGCTTGTTCCTCTTCTCGTACGTTTACTCTTTGTTGCCCTGAAATAAGGAAAACAAACACACTAGTAACGTCACATGTAATGATTTCTAATACCGTTACAGTTTATGTGGTTTAGAAGTTTTATTCTTAGGGTTTCTTTTTACTTGTTGGTATATTGTTTGTCGTTTTAGTTGCATTCATTCGTAAATTCAAGTGGTTTTCAAGTGTACGTACTGTCATTGGTTCAAGTGTTATATATCCTTGCTTCCAAATTCCTTCGAATACTTATTTTGTTGATATTCTTAACAGCAATCTCCCACCGTTTCGTACAAAAGCCTTCATAAGAAGAAGCTTTCAGTCACTTGATGTTTTATTCGGGTCGCCACTTGGTGTCTTTTGACGGAAAAGACCGGTAATTTTCCAGTTCATCCTTTTCAACCGTTGATAGGAACTTAAACATAGATATCGAGCTAGGTTGTTCTTCGGACCTAAAAAAGGTAATTATTAACTTGATTAGATCTATATTGAGTTAGGATCTAGAAATAAGATTGACAGATGACGATGACTTTTATTTTCTTTATTCCGTTAGAATTACAGTTGATGAGTTTACCGAGTATGTACTGATTCCAATTTCGATCCCGTCATTTTTATAGAATTAAGCAGCAACAAGGGTTGCTCATTAATTTCAATGAATTTGAACAGAAAGTAGCAGATCTCTTGTGTATTTGTTCAAAAGAGGAGGCTGTCGAAAGTCCTAAGTAAGCTTGTTATGCCTGTCAACTTATTTTAGATATGGACTTCGGTTTTCCAGAAGCACTAAGGAAAGAGATTGCGGTTTATTGCAAATAGTTGAGGCCACCAATTTCAAATATCTTCACCATTTGAGTCTCAATTTGTATGCAGCTGATGACGAAAAGCTGAAACTATTTCTAGCTAGCCGTTTAAAAAAACATAAAGTACTTGTGCAGGTTCCCTTTATTTTTTTAGACCGAAAGTGATGCCATTATCAAGCAACTTAGCCATTCCGTATCCGAGCTGACGTCGTCCCTAAAATCTGCAGAGGAGGTGTGTTTTTTCATCCTTATTACACCTTTAGGGTACGAAGTTAATAATAGACGAGTTTCAAGCGTTCAAAGTAGCATGTTCAGCTAAAGAAATTAGTCTTCGCGCTGAGAATGAGTTTGCTATCAAGGAATTGCAATCGAAACATGATGAGGTTCAGTCTTTTGTCAATTGTTATACATTCTTAGGTAAAAACGAAGTTAGAAGAATCTCTTTCCAAAGAAAAGGATTTAGCCAATCAAATACAAGAGGAGCTTCAAAAGGACTTTAAAAGTCGTTTGGATGTAGCATTGAACAACAACAAAGTGAGTATTTAGTATGAGGTCGTGATAAATTGCTTTCAATTTTACTGGTTGAACTACGCAATCTGTAGTGACTTATTACGTTTTTTCATGTATTTATAAGAGACTGACTACTGGCTGAAACTCATTTTGTTTTCACAAGAAGAGTTAACAGTGCCACTTTTAAAACAGAATTCGACACTGACTATTGTAGATCCGGCTTCATGTTTCTATATTTACGGTCACAGGGAAGCTAGTTCATTTTCGTAATCAATTTGTTTTGCCTGTTGCGTGTCATGTCTTCAGTCATCTATGGGGGACGACTTAGATTCTGTCAGAAATTTTCGATCCATCGATTAAATATTAATGCTTCCACAGGTTTCAAACAAGCATACCTTCTAATGGGGTACTTGACTAGATTGGTCGGTGGGTGAAAAAAAGTATTTGGGAACGCTGTTTAACACCGAAATATTAGCAAGTGTATGAATTCATGTTTCATTGTTGTACAGATGAAAATCCACTGTAAAATTTTCATGGGACTTATCAAAATACATTGTCAGATATTAAAAGTCTGACACTAGAGATTTTTTAATTTACTTTAAACGCACATAAATATTAGTACAAAGAGGCACTAAATATATATGCACCACACAAATTAATCGATTTGCATGAGAGCTAAAATACTGCCCGGGCACCGAAACCGAAGCAGGTGGCTATTTGGGGAGCCACTCCCCGAGCCTTTGACATGAAGTTCTAATCCACGAAACAGTGAAGAAACGTTAGGAGATGCGGTCCTATGGTAGCCGGTGACGAACAATAGGTCCATGCTCTATTGTTTTCCTCAGGATCCTGGAGCCCATGTGCACCATTGATTTGGTGATTCAACTAGTATGCTAAAGGTTTGAAAAGGTATATTTTTTCATTGGATTCCCTTGCCCTGATGATGCACCATATTTGAGTCCTTCGAACATTATCTTTGTGTATTCGAACTTCCAAATATTCATTTAGCAATCTATTTATTTATAAACCGTATCATGTCTAGTGATTTCTCGGATTACTTGTTTTGCTGTTACAAGTGTAGTCCATTTGATGAAAACATACTTATGTATTTTTAAACATCTTATTTCTACTAGAAGATATATCTCATCCTAACTTTCCCCTTACCGTAGAAATTCTTGACTCATTATAACCTATTATATTGGTTTCTTTTCCCAATCATCTGTAACGTTTGATCACATTTAAAATATGTACTCTTATTGTTATATCTATTGGTCATAGACGTTTAACTATATGGTATTAAAATGATATTCCATTACTTATTTTGACTAATTTTGGATTTCAACTTGGTCCCATCTATCGTCTAAGTGTTTCTATTTGGGTCTTCCCATCCACCGTTTTCTTGTTAAAATACCACGTTTTACGCAAACGTAACACACTAGTTCTTGGTTATTTTAGTTTCTTTTGGACTACATAATCTGTATCGCAGTGTTATGACGTAAATTGACCCTCGTCCTTGATTTTAAAATTGTTTTATCGATATCCATGGCATTACTGATATTCGCTTAAGTAAGGAAATAAAAGTCTTTTGTTTTTCGTTGAGCAGAATCTACTGGATCATCAGTCTGTCCTCCAAACACGTGTAGAAACACTCCAGGAGAAACTGAAGTTTGCAGAAACTGAAAATATTTCTTTAACTGAAGATATCAAAGGTAGGTTTCACCTGTTTTTAATCAATTTTGTCAAAAGTTTATATATATATATATATATATATATATATATATATATATCTTAACGTGGTTTTTTTTATCACATTCATAAAACTAAAACAATCTCTTATTAACCGAAATAAGTACTTCTTTGTTGTTTTTTTACAGATCTATTTCTTCAAAAATTATCGCTCTTGTTCATTTATTTACAGATTGTACGACCCTTCATTTATGTGGCGCATTTTTTGTGCCTCATCGTAAATAGTTAGAAAATCTTATTTGTTAGTCAAAAAATTTAAATCACAAATGAAATCAGACTGTTTGGTACACATTTTATATTGGTGCTTGTTAGATCCAAGCACCTCTTGGGATGCTCAACTTGTTACTTCTTTATTCCTTTCCAAGTCGCTATCTATAGTGATTTCTTTTTTCTAGATATTGTAAGACTTAGTTGTTGCTGTTAGTTATTCTGAAATCACAGATCTTGTTAGCATCAAAAGCTATATCAAACTTATGTAGTGTTCCTTGTTCAACTATTCACTGCCTTTTTAGCTTGGTCACCACAAAGACGATCGGAAGCTACATCATCTCTTCTTATTCTTACGTCTTGGTTGGGTGTGGTCAATTTAGTTTTCTGTAGCGTGGTCCGGTAAATTCTATGATACTGTGTATGAATTTATTGGAGAAATACTGCCGTTTATGACAATGTTGTTGAAAACACACAGACCTGCCAATCTCACTACATTATCATCCCTTTCAAACAGTCCATATTGCCCTACGACGCATCTATATTTGGTGTTGTCCATTCTAACCTTGGCGTTTAGGTCTCCACCAGAACAGCCAGGTGTTTTACGAGGAATGTTTTTACAATGAACTGCAGCCTCTCCAGGCGAAGTTCGTCTTTTTAATATTTTTGTAAATAGTTTAGTCTCCATTACCTGGCAAAAGTAAACGACGTTTAAATTCTGTATTCATCTTCGTATTAATTAGAAATCAAACGCACTTATTCTTATCATTAGTTTATACATGTTAAATTTTATTATTAGTTGTACGTTCTCAGTTGAATACAACCAACCGGGCATATGATCTACAAACGGAAGTGGTCAATCAGTTACAGAGTAAAATATCTATGCTAGAAGAAAATATGATTATCAAAGGCAAACAAATACTGGACTTAGAAAATTCGTTAACTAAAGAGCACGAACAAAAGGTAATGTGTCATAACAAATTTACACACTACATGGTTTTTTTTAAATTCTGAGTCATAGTTATTATTATTATTTTTTATATGAACACATAAATATTGGTACAAGGAGGCACCAAATATATATGCGCCACACAAAACAATGAGAATTTGAAGAGAAGGAAAAAGGTGTAAGGAACGTTGGGAATCATAAAATAAAGAAAAGAACAAAAATGAGGAAAACGAAAAGGTTCAATCATAAAAAATCTTACAGTTAAGGAAGAAGCAACCACTCTTTACGAAGAAGTTAAAAGAAGGTTACAGCAGGATCGCCACTGGCTTTTATTCTGAGCCATATCTGATAACGTCTCTAGCCACTGTGTTACACCATCTCTCGGACCCCAGCCAGGGAGTCGTGAAGGACCAACAGAAGCCAGCCCAACACCGAAGTCGGTGTTTCAAGACGGTGACACTAATGGAATTATCGTCTCTGTGCCCGAACACACGATGCCGAACCTCTGCATTACTAACATGGTGTTGCCACTGAATGTCAGCAATCCTTCGGAGACAGCGATGATCGAGCACAGAGAGTCGTCTAACATCCTCAGCTCGGAGAGGCCAGGTTTCACAAGCATAGAGCAGAACTGCTCTCACCGTCGCGTTGTAGATCCGACCTTTTACAGCCAGACTAACATCACGAAGGCGCCAAAGATGGCCCAGATTGGCATAAACCGCTCTGGCTTTCACTATACATGCATTGATCTCATCACTCACGCCACCACCAGCACTTATGCAGCTAACCAGATATTTCTATCTGCTCACCATCCAGAGTGAGTACAGGATTAGAATCCTGCCAGTCTTGTAGAAGTACTTTGCACTTCGAAGGTGCCAAGCACACACCATACCTACGGATATTGATTGCCAACTGATTAAGTGCGGATTGCATGGCTTGGGCATTCTCGCACAGTAAGACAATATCATCCGCATACTCAAGGTTGAGAAGTCTTTCTCCAGGCAACAGATCCACACTACCATTACTTACATCCATCAGAGCTGTTTCCAGAATGTCACCGATGGCAAAGTTGAAGAGGAATGGTGAGATTGGGCAACTCTGCCTAACCCCATTGCTTGAATGGAACAATGGAGAGAGGTGGTTGTATGCCCTCACTCTGCCTGAGGTGTTTGTATATAGGGCTTTCAAGATGTTAATAAACTTCTCAGTCACACCCTTCTTCAATAGACAATCCCAGAGAACAGTTCTGTCCAACGAATCGAAGGCAGCCCTGATATCAAGAAACACTACAATTGTTGACCTTTGATAAGTATGGCGGTGTTCTAACACTTGGCGGGGGGTGAAGATATGATCAATACATCCTCGACCAGAACGAAACCCAGCCTGCTCCTCTCAAGTCAATCTTTCTCGGGTTTTGAACAACCTGCTAAGTATGACGGAAGTCAATAGCTTGGATGCAATCGGAAGTAGACTTATCCTCCGATAGTTGTTACAGGAACGACGTGAAACCTTTTTAAAGATAGGGATAACTATCGACTCATTCCATGACGTTGGTACACTCTCTAGTTCCCAGACCTTTGCAAACAATGTCGTCAGTCCCTTAGTCAGAAAGTTACCACCATCTTTAAAAAGAGCCGAAGGTAAGTCATCTGGGCCCGGTGGTTTGTAACGTTTCAAGAGTTGGAGTTCCTTGCGGACTTCCGCCTCATTTGGTGGATCAGTCGTCACCGGCCATGGAGGGCAGGACAGTCTGACCGACGTTGCCGGAGCAGCAGACCAGTTGAACTGCCCTTCGAAGAATTCTGCCCATCGTCCAAGACGTCGATGAATGTTAGTTACTGGCGTTCCGTCATCCTCGCAGATAATTTTGCTCACACTTCTTGTTGCTAGTGGCTCGGATGAGTTGGAAGAGCTTCCGGTAATTACCAGATGCAGCTGCTGCTTCCAACTCATTCGCACGCTCCGACCACCAGGCTTCTCGGTCCTTACGCAAGCTTTGCCCGATTTCAGTACGTAACATCCTTCGTCTGTGGTCAAACTCACGGTCACCCGGAGTAGACCGACGGGCTTCGATGAGTTGTAAGGAGCCTGAAGAAACCCAGTGCTTATAAGCGGGATGTTTCGCGAATTCACAACAGACTTGACCCGCCATTTTCATGGCGTCATGCAATTGCAACCAATGCTTATCTAGACATTTTGGTGGAATGGTAGCTAGCATAGAAGCTAGCTCGACTCGATACTTACTAGCAACAGAAGTTGCAACCAGCTTGCTAACGTCAATCCTTTGGTGGCGGTCACTTCGTTGTCCACTGAAAAGTAAGGTGAGATTGGCGCAGACCAGAGCACGATCAGATTCCAGATAGGTACTCCAAGAGGAGCGGCAGTCTTGTACACAACCACGCCAGCGGTAGCTGATCGCGATGTGATCAATCTGAGTCCAGGCTTGAGATGCAGAGGGAGGACGCCAGGTGGCACATCGGCGATGACTGTGCCGAAAGTTAGTGCTAGTTGCAGTAGACGTTCCCCGTTATCTGTCCTGCGACCAACGAGTCCCCATCGGCCACCTAAACGACTCTCTTCTGTGCCTAGACGCCCGACCTGAGCATTCAAGTCTCCGACTAGTACTACAATATCTGTCGAACGCACCTTCTGGACAAGAACAGTTAACTGGTGGTAGAATTCATCCTTGATTGCATCCGGGCTGCAATCTGTCGGGGCATAGGCGGAGATGACTAAAAGTCATCGTTTCTCACGCCTATTTCTTCTCACTTTGATGGAACTTTCTAATCTAACAGCACATAACCGACTTAATGTGGATGCAGTCGACTAGTGCTGCCTCAGCTCTTGCGCTTAGTGCGACACCAACGCCAGCAAGACCAGATGAAGATGCCACAGGGTCCCCGGATAAACGCACATAAAACAAGCTTTTTGAAGTGACAGATGGAGAGCGAATTTGTATTACTTCACCAGAGTGTTGAATACGGGTCTCGGATAGACAACAAACGTCAATATCAAGACTTTCCAAAGACATAGCCAGCCGTATCTGTTATCCGACCTGCATAAGTGTGCAGACGTTATAGGCAACCAGTTTGAATGGTGCGCGTGGTTTCAGAAAAACTGCTTCAGTACTCATATTCGGTGGTAACATACAATTTTCAACCAGGCAGTGACTCGAGAACGTTTAGATAGAGCCGAATGTCCACCATAGGCGAGCTGCTGTATAAGTCGAAAAATAAGGATAAACAGAGTGGAAATAAAAGAGAGTGAATAAATGACGTGGTAAATAATAATAATAATAATAATAATAATAATAATAATAATAATAATAATAATAATAATGTGAAATGACTGACGGTAAATCGCGTCATGAATAGAGTTTTCAGAGAACATCATCATTTTCATTATATTTGTGTGTGGGCTGTGATACTGCCCGGGTGCCCAGATCGAAGCAGGTGGTTTTCTTAGGGGGCCACTCCCCGAGCCTTCGACCTGTATGTCTGACCCACAAGGCAGTGGAGCATCGTGAGGAGATGCCATACCATGGTAGCCGGTGACCAACGATTGGTTCATACGCCATTTGTTCCCGCAGGATACTAGAGCCAGCCCATGTGCACCATTGATTTGGGATCCGGTTATAGCGCCGGACATTCGCTTTTCGTCCTCTCATTTTCGTAAACAACACCCGTGGTGCGAAAAGGCAGTGAGTAGGACTTCCCTGGCAGAGGCTGTATACGCGTAGCCGTGTGAAAGTATTTCGAGAGGGAGGGCGAACCCACCCTACTCTCGGCCATACCAGGGCATTTGGGGGCTGAGTCATAGTATTTTGTATCTAGTTCAATATGATCGTATTCATTGACTTTTTAATTATGCTACCTTTTCATTAGAACGCAGTAATACAGCAATTAAATCACTGTGGTGAATTACAAACAAAAAATGCTACAGTTTTCAAAGGTTTTTTAAACGAGTTATCTTATCGTTTTATCGATTTATTCTGTAGTTGATATATGTACGTTATTACAACGTATGTTGGCAAGAGAATAAATTGATCTTAATTCTCGTAGTCATTGTTCTATCAAAGTTTCATAGTCTCGGTCTCATTTATATTTGCTTATTCCTGGCTTATAAAATCAGGTTCATTGTGTCAAGTAACTCAGACCGTTTTTAGATATCTTTGTCAAGACTTGAATTAACTTCGAGTAAATGCAGATGTTTTGTGATAATAAAAGCATATATTTCATTTCTGAGATGATAAAAGAAACGACTCACGCGAAGTCATGATTCATCAGAGATTCAGTTTTCTACACATTGGTTTATTACAATTTAGTTTTTGCTTATATTATTCTTGTAACTCAGACAATTTTTTTACAGTACTTTCATACATTGTCTTCATAACTTATTTGCACCAATTCAAGTAACGTAAGTGGGTTAATAACTAACAGAATAGCTTTTTAAACCTTGAACTATATGGTTTAAGGGAAAGTGAATGTCTCGAATAAAGGTAAACTGGCTGGCTACCCATAGTTAATACTAAGCTAGTTTCAGCAATTATAGACTAAAATGATTCAATGGAGTATAATACATTTCTTTGTAATTATATTCCTACATTAACCAAACTTAGTTATTACATTGAGATGTATAAACAAGCGATTGATATGCTCGCTACTAACATCTAATACTTTGACATAGGGATAAGGGAAGTTTGTTTCTTCAGCCCAGCTACATAATTTATTCCATAAAGTCTCTAAATGTTCTGGAATAAATCAGTTATAAGCTTAACAAATTAAACACTGTAACCCTCCTGTAAAATTCCTTCAAGAAAATCTTACTACTATTTTTTGTAAGTTTATTTCACAAGTGCTCGTTCACTTCATAAAGGTATGTTTTCACTTCTCCCTAGATAAGCATCACTGAATATGTGATTCATTTCACCTCTTTGACCTTTGGTTTTCATGACTAACCCATATTTGTTCATTTACAAATATGCTTAAATCTAACACAACTTGTTAATGCCTTAAATATCAATACTATATCTAAAATAATATATCTGCGGAGTAGAACATACAGCCGTCATTAAGTTAACAGAATTTGAAAGTTCGTCATTCATTTTTGTATAGTTTTGCGTATCCTTAGCAAATTCCCTACTAAATTATTCTGTTTGTTTCATCATGTATATATATTGTATTTTTAATAAAAAGGTTTCAAATAAAAAAAAATGTTTGGATAATTTGGGTAGATTATACAGTTGCTTATAATGTTCTCTTTTGTTTAGTTGCATTTACTTGAACAATCAGAACAACATTGTCGTAACATACAAAATTTGGAGAAACATTTAGCTTCGAATACGGAGGAAATAAATAAATCAAATGAAATCATTAAACGCTTACAAAGTGAAGTCAAAAGTTTCCAAACAAAGGTAATGAAAGTTTTAAGGATTGTTTACAGTAACAATATAATATTATCATCATATATTTTCATAAGTTCAAAATGTCAAGAAAAATAATAAGACGATATTATGATGTTGTATTAAAACATTTTCTTCGAAACGAGAAAAAATGAAAAACTAAAAAAATGTTTTCACTATTAAGAAAGCTTCCAGTAGTATGCTCTATTTTAGATGCTCATTAACATAAATATTCAGATTGAGTACGTCTTTGTGAACAAATTTTCCGTGATAAATTATATGCTCTCTTTCAATAGAAGAGTAGTGATGTAATTCATCAAAAAGTGCAGATTTATGTACACTGTTTGATGTCATAGTGTATGAAGTCTAATAATACTACCCAACTTGTCCAATCCAAATTAAATTAGACAGGGTTCGAACCTATAACTTACTGGTAAAAAGTCGTGTACTTTAGCAACTAAGCCGTTTCTTTACATATTTTCTTTTTATACAAACTATCAGCTACGGCACCAAATCTAATTACTCGTTATTAAGTCAATGTTATTACTTACCTTGTCTACAAACGTCGTTTTGCATTAATTCGCGAAAGTGAGAAATATGAGCGAAAGTAATATCTAACTTCACGTTGACTTACTTGAAGTCTTCAAATTCCAACAAAAATGATCAACCTTGTGGAATAGGATCAGTTATGGAGTGTGACACATTTAATTCACATCGTAACTTCCTTTTAAAAATAAACAAAGTACTCTGGATTCGTTATTTCGTCATATTCTCAGCAGCAGAATTTAAGTTAACAAGCTCGAATATCTACAAAAATCAACAATTAGTAACATGAAAATTTATTCAAAAATAGCAAACTATTTTAAATGCTAAATTAATGTTTAGTTTTAATTGAAAAGGTTTTGGTGAGATGTTGTAAACTAAGCTTTGGTTCAGTGGTTAATGGATTTATCTTTCAACTCAGTAGGTCATACATTCAAAATCCACTCCCTCTTCAGTTTGGGCAACAGAATATATTCATCTCATTTGCTCTTAAAGAACTAATACGGCTTAAAACTAAATAAATGAGTCTGTAATTAGAAAATGAGTTACTTTTGTAATTGAACTATCAATGTAATGTTTTTGTTCTATTTGATTTTATTGTCCTACATTGACAAAAAAACTGCTAACAAGGAATGGTCATAACATCTGAATTAATTATATTTGGAAAAGTAAAAGAGATTAATTACGTTTTCAATTTGTGTTACTTAGACACTGAAAGATCAAAAGATAGCATTTTAGTATTAAAAATTATGATTTAGATCCTGATTGCCTTGGTTTTCGAAAGCAGAAAAACACAGTTCACTAGTTATTGTAAATGTGCATATTATATTTATCTGGTGTTTTATATTTAGTAGATGGTGAACAATCTAACTAATACCACTTATCTACTTCAAATGTATGTAGACTCTTCAATATATGTTTAATAAAGCATGTATATACCTTATTCTTCGTCATTTTATATGACTTCTTTATGAGTACGCATTTATGAATTTCTTCATGTCACTAACCAACGTCTCGCGTGGGAAGGAGAACTAGCTTTGATGCGAAAAATACAGTTTACAGTCTTCGGCTAATCTCACCGAAGACTTAATGATCACTGTATTTTTGTACAAACCTATAAAATAACCACTTTTCGAATGCACGATTGTTATTGGTTCCTGCATTTTACTCTTAAGATCACGCAATTCTTTGGTCTAAATATCGGAAGTACTTGTAGAGCACTCACCTGATCCTCTGGCGTTCTTGTTTAAGACGTGAAAAACGTAAAACATTAGTGCTATCTTTTGATCGTGCGACGAATAAACTACTGAAGTTAGTCTATTTATTGTGATTGAAGTTTCTTTTTTTCGGATACTTTTAATTGTCTGAAGGATTCAATAAATGTAGTGCTTGATTTTATATTGACCCATTGTTGTGGAGTAAAATTTCCGACTGTCAAAATCGATTAATGAAATGCTAATCGATAGATCAATGGAATGGTGCGATGTGGCCGAGTGGTGGGTGCTCATGTGACCGTATTATTGATCCAAATGACTAGAAACCAAAGACAAGACCACTAGCTAGGCGACTAGATTATACAATAAAATATAATGATTATATACAAAATATAAACACAAAATAAATATGATGAAATGACATTGGCTATTAGAGGAAATGAGTTCATCCGATCAATTAAGACCTGACTATGAAGTTTAATTCTTGGGCACCGTGTCGACCATACATATGATATTTTCAAAACGATTGCGATGAAGAATCTTCCCCTGTGAAAGTGCGAAATTCGGTGGATACGTTAGTGGTATTGTGTCGCGGAATAAATAAATTTTGTTGGCTTCTTGAGAAATGCATTTCTAGTACAAATATTTGTCGATGTTTGAACGAATAGTTTTGCCGAAATTGGGCGTATAGAAAAGATATTATTTGTAAAAATTATATTTGATAAGTCTTGCGATTTTGAACGCTATACTCGATTCCTAAGCTATTCTGAAACCCCAAGCTAGAACTATACAGCGACCTGAAAACGAGAGAGAAGGCGCAAAGTATGCGAAAAATAATTTACTCCAAAGGTTCATTTTAATACAGAAAACAGAGGGTTTTTATAGTATTCTAAATGTCCTTGGGTTGTTCGAAGATTCTGAAATGCTACTAAACATAGTAGCGGTATAACAATCAACCAATCAGAACCTCTACATGTGATGTTTCACATCCTTGATGTTTCTGGCTAAACTCCAAGTGAACGCTGATTGAATGAAATGCTTCTTAAGATTTCCTGATCCTTGCGTCTTTTGCGAGAACTTTTCTGGATCATCCCAACAATATTTGAAATAATCTCTAAGATTGGAATCCAAACAATCCCATTTTTCGTCCAGCAGACTTCTCTGGACTTCTTCAGGGTAATAATCAAAATTATCAAATATTATATAATATTTAACAGTCCGATCAAATGTGCACTATGCTCATCCAATCATATTCAAATAGCATAATATCAGCGTTAGCGAGACTAATTTACGAACAGACCAATTGGGTTTAACATAGCAGATCTTTGATTTTGTAGCGAATTTAATTCACTCATTTGGTTAGATACCCTTACGGCTGGTCAGTTTGATAAAAACATTAAATCTAATTCTTAACCTTAACGTCCAACTATAAATCCTAGTCGTAATTTCTCACATTAATATATAACCCTCCTTTAGACTTTGTAAGTAATTAAACATTCCAGGGTCATTTCAGCGTTGCTCAAAGGTCCTCCATAAATTATAGTCTCACCTCAACGTTAATGAAAGGACAAATTTCCAAAAACAATGTTATCCATGAGATCAGTTATCATGATTGTAATGCAGTTTATGTGAGTTGAACCACTTGACAGTTGAATGGCAGTTTGAAGGAACACAAACAATGTTTGAAAAATGTTCCCAAATAGTCAGTTGATTTTAAGAAACTTGAGAATAGGTTGGTGATATTGTTACATGCGTTAGAAAGATGAAATTTTTAAGGACCAAAATACTTCAGAAAGAGTTTGGCATGCATAAAGAAAGACCTACAGCAGAAGCGCTATATATATGGGCTAATAAAACCGGCCTGAACAAAAAAGACCAGTATTCAAATAGTCACCCCTTGGCATATAGTCATTAACGAGTGATTAGACCCTAACTCTATCCAACCTGTTTACTTCTCATAAACCGTTATTTTAACAGGAATTAATTTGAACATTTTGCCATTACAATTATGTATTTGGTGATTCTTATTTTACATAATCATCGACGTTTTCAAAACATTTTCAATTCATATTTCTATTCTTACTTCTAATAAACAAAAAGCAAATTAACACTTAATATCAACAATTAATAAATCAAACTCCCACTTACTAAAGTCAAAATCTGAAGATGATTGGATGAGCATAGTACAGATTTGATTGGACTGTTAAATATTATATATATATTCTTTGATAATTTTGATTCTAATTATTACCCTGAAGAAGTCTAAACAAATCTGCTAGACAAAATGTTGGAATTATTTCAATTTCAACCTCTGAGATTATTTCAAATATAATTTTTACAAGTAATTATTCCCAGTAGATTTTCGTCCAATGAGTTTAGATTGTATTGTCATTATTTTCAACTCAGTTAATATTATCAGTAGAATAATCATCTTACTGTATCATTGATAGATAACTTCTATGCTCTCTACTCATATATTATGACTGATCAGAACCACTTGCTTTAATAATCAAATCCTTGAATCTAGATCCAAACTTTAGCACCGTTAATCTTCAGTCGAATCTTAGCACTTCAGACAATTCAGTTTGTTATTCGTTGAGCTTCCATTTTAGTTGTTGGTATTGGTTCCAATATATATTGTCATTTGGTACAGTAATGAATACAATTATTTACAACTGGAATGTATTCTTCTATACAACGTTACATTTAAATAATAATGTAAACATTTAGATGTTTATTTGTCTTAGGCTAAATTACGTGGTCAAGTAGCAGCGGAACAGGAGCGTTTACTAGTTTCCAAAGACTCTGAAATTCAGAGACTACATACCGAACTAGATAAATTAAGATCGGAAATCACGGATGTCAAAGAGCGCAACACTCAGATTGTTGAAGAGCATGATCAAGCCTTGCAAAGTTTAACAGATGCTCAGAAAACAATCAAGTCCAATGAAATAAGTAAGTTATGGGAAACTGATTACGATTTATTTTTATATAACGAAAGACCAATGAATATTTTATCGTACACAGTGTAATCATATGTATGTATACTACAGCTCGCGTTGAAATTCTTCATTTTTAGTTTTGTGCTTATTTGACTTTTCATGGTGTAAAACTATCTTTCCTGATATTTATCTTTATTAGAGATAGTGTTTGCTATCACCTCTTAGTGAGAACTTACCGAAGTAGTGCACCTACATTTTAAAATTTTGAGTTGTCCATCTAAACGTTCGATGGCCATCTATGCATGTCGCTTATTGCGAAATCACAACGGATTTCTATAAAGTATAAAAGGTCTCAAAATTATAATTTTGAAATCAGTGGTGTGTGATGGGTTCTTAACAAGTATCATTTATATCTCGCATTGGATTCTAAAATTATTATTTTGTTCCAAATATAAGTAGCGTGATCTAGTGGTTTTATTAATTTTTGTTAATCTCTTTTTTTATCCAAATTATTATGTTATTGAGAATTAATTCAATGAAATCTATTATCCAAAAACCAATCGATGCAATCGGAACTTGAGCATGGGTTGTTGTATTTACATTTCACAATGACAACAGTAAATGTAGCCTATACAAATTCAAGAATTCAGATGATTTACTAGATATTATGACTACAAATTAGTGCAAATTAAAAATGAACAGCGTGGATTGCTCATTTAACTTTTCACAAATATTCAATCATAATTCGGATTGATCTTGATAATTTTTATACACTTCTAATTAGTTGTTCTAACTCACTATGGATGGCGGATTTTTGAATACTATTCAAATGTTAGCTTTCTATCATAACAGTCAGATATCATGATATTGATCATTAATACTTAGTTTTACGTAATAAATTTAGATCGAATCATGGTTTCAACTGTGAAAATACTAGTCTCCACAAATCTTCCTACTTATAGCAATCATGTGCTCACTGGTGACTAGCTTAATGATGTTTCAGTAAGTAGCCATGACCAGTGGTGTCCAATCTGTGTTAGGTTTGAGACAGTTATCCAGCTCAGGTAATTGATGAACGTTGCGCAAGTTCATGGGTTGATTGAAGTTGAATGCTGACTAGGCGGTCCAGAGCTTAAGCGTTCATGCGCGTGACTGAAGGTCCTAGATTCGAGTCCCGTGTGCGGGATCTTGGATGTGCACTGTTGATAAGACCCGTACTAGGACGAGTCGGCGGTCCACTGCTTTCATGTTTTCAATGGTGATCTGGCTTAGATCGACGCGTGAGTTCAACTGTGAAAATACTGCAATCTCCACAAATGTCCATACTGAGTTAATTTTGTATTAATTCAAATAGACTGGATATGTTCATCTGATTTTCACTATTTCTCGTCGTAGTGTATTATTCTGTTTCGTATTTGTCAAGAATCATTGGTTAGTATCATGGAAAGCAGTGAAAAAATTCCACTGATATATCGTTCACTTGATCAGGACAAAATACTTCTAAAAATTTAGATTACCAGTAATACTTCTTGTACTGAAAACGTTTTGAGTGTCTTGGTCACCATGACATAGGTAATCCACAAAATTGAACCATTATTTTTGTAATTCACAACCCAAATTTAAGTGTACCATTCATTTACTAATCATGGATTCTTGTACTGTGCTTTTAAATCTCGCTTTAGTTATGAAGGCGAGTAACACAACATGGTTGTTTAGGTCTATGTCGGTTTGAGGGAGTTCGAACCTGTAGCCTAGTTATTAAAGGTCGAGACACAGCAACTCAAGCAGAACGTCAGTGGTAGAAACTTTATAAATAAAATTTTTTCCCGATTTCTGGAAAACCGCGAATTTCGAGCATTAGCTCCCCTTTCCGGGGGCTACTGCCGGTCCCAAGCCCGGATAAAGGAGGAGGGTTGGGCACGGGGTTAGCGACCCCATCCCGTAGAAAACTAACTCGCTAAAAAAACGCTAACCAGAAAAAATTATTCAAACCATTTAAACTCTGCCCTGGGAGTCAGGAGGTCTTCGTTTAGAAGAATTATGACGCCTCATGATGAAAGCCGAGTTTCTTCGGAAGTCACGAGGCCGATGCCCCTTCTGACAACCAGAGCAACCATTTATTTAGATACATGGAATGCTCGCACAATGTGGGAGACTGGGAGAGTTTTCCAAATTGCTGCAGAAATGAGGAGATACGATTTAGAGGTGCTTGGGATCAGTGAAACACATTGGACGCAAGTTGGACAACAACGACTAGCTTCAGGGGAGCTGCTGTTATACTCCGGACATGAACAAGAAAATGCTCCACATACACAAGGAGTTGCATTGATGCTGTCCAAACAAGCACAAAATGCACTTATAGGATGGGAATCTCATGGACCAAGGATCATCAAAGCCTCCTTCAAAACAAAGAAAGAGGGCATTACAATGAACGTCATCCAATGCTACGCGCCTACCAACGACTACAATGAAGACTCTAAAGATCAATTCTACGATAGGCTGCAGTCAATCGTCGAGAAGTGCCCAACTAAAGACCTGACTATTCTGATGGGAGACCTAAATGCCAAGGTTGGAATTGACAACACCGGATATGAAGAGATCATGGGACGACACGGACTCGGAGAAAGAAACGAAAATGGTGAGAGATTTGCAAATCTATGTGCCTTCAATAAACTGGTCATAGGCGGGACTATATTCCCACATAAATGCATACACAAAACCACATTGACTTCACCGGATCACACCACACAGAACCAAATCGACCATATCTGCATCAACAAAAAGTTCAGGAGGACGATGGAGGATGTGAGAACAAAGAGAGGAGCTGATATAGCATCAGATCATCACTTGCTGGTCGCCAAGATGAAATTGAAACTCAAGAGGCACTGGACAACGGGGAGGACAATATCACAAAAATTTAATACGGCTCTTCTTCGGGATAATGACAAACTCAATAAATTCAAGATAACCCTCAGCAATAAGTTCCAAGCCTTTCATGATCTACTCAATGGAGAAGAAACTACTATGGAGAGCAACTGGAAAGAGACAAAAGAAGCAATCACTTCAACATGTCATGAGGTTCTGGGCCAAAAGAAGCACCATCACAAGGATTGGATCACGGTCGATACACTGGATAAGATTCAAGAAAGGAGGAACAAGAAAGCAGCAATCAATACCAGTCGAACAAGAGCAGAAAAAGCCAAGGCACAGGCTGAATACACAGAAGTAAACAAGCAAGTGAAAAGGAGCATCAGAACTGACAAACGTAAATATGTGGAAGATCTGGCATTGACGGCGGAAAAGGCTGCGAGAGAAGGAAACATGAGACAACTGTATGACACAACAAAGAAACTCTCTGGAAATCACCGTAAACCAGAACGACCAGTGAAAAGCAAGGAAGGCAAGATAATCACCAACATTGAAGAACAACGAAACAGGTGGGTAGAACACTTCAAAGAACTCTTGAATCGACCAGCCCCACTGAACCCACCCAACATCGAAGCAGCACTCACGGACCTCCCAATTGATATTGGCGCACCGACAATTGAAGAAATCAGCATGGCTATCAGACAAATCAAGAGTGGCAAAGCAGCAGGACTAGACAGCATTCCAGCAGAGGCACTGAAAGCAGACGTAGTGGCAACTGCAAGGATACTCCACACTCTCTTCAGGAAGATCTGGGATGGGGAACAGGTACCAAAAGACTGGAAAGAAGGACTTCTAGTCAAAATACCAAAGAAAGGCGATCTCAGCAACTGTGACAACTACAGGGGAATCACTCTTCTTTCAATACCAGGAAAAGTCTTCAACAAGGTATTGTTAAACAGGATGAAGGACTCCGTAGACGCCCAACTTTGCGACCAACAGGCAGGATTCCGTAAAGATAGATCGTGCACAGACCAAATCGCAACTCTACGGATCATTGTGGAACAATCAATTGAATGGAATTCATCACTCTATATCAACTTCATCGACTACGAAAAAGCATTTGATAGCGTGGACAGAACAACCCTATGGAAGCTTCTTCGACACTACGGCGTGCCTCAGAAGATAGTCAATATCGTACGAAATTCTCATGATGGATTAAACTGCAAAATCATGCATGGAGGACAATAGATTGACTCGTTAGAGGTAAATACCGGTGTTAGACAAGGTTGCTTAATCTAAACTTTCCTCTTTCTCCTGGTGATCGACTGGATCATGAAGACGTCAACATCTGAAGGGAAGCACGGGATACAGTGGACATCTAGGATGTAGTTGGACGATCTAGACTTCGCAGATGATCTGGCTCTTCTATCGCAAACGCAACAGCAAATGCAGGAGAAGACGACCAGTGTTGCAGCAGTCTCAGCAGCAATAGGTCTCAATATACACAAAGGGAAAAGCGAGATTCTCCCATACAACACAGCATGCAACAATCCAATCACAATTGACGGAGAAGATTTGGAAGATGTACAAACCTTTACATATTTGGGCAGCATAATCGATAAACACGACGGATCTGATGCAGATGTGAAGGCACGGATCGGCAAAGCAAGAGCAGCATATTTACAACTGAAGAACATCTGGAACTCGAAACAATTGACAACCAACACCAAGGTCAGAATTTTCAATACAAATGTTAAGACAGTTCTACTGTATGGGGCCGAAACCTGGAGAACTACAAAAGCCATTGTCCAGAAGATACAAGTGTTGATTAACAGCTGTCTACGCAAAATACTTCGGATCCGCTGGCCGGACACTATAAGCAACAACCTACTGTGGGAGAGAACAAATCAGATCCCAGTGGAGGAAGAAATCAGGAAGGAGCGCTGGAAGTGGATAGGACACACATTGAGGAAAACACCCAACTGCGTCACAAGACAAGCCCTCACATGGAATCCTGAAGGCCGAAGGAGGAGAGGAAGACCAAAGAATACATTACGCCGAGAAATGGAGATAGATATGAGAAAAATGAACAAGAATTGGATGGAACTAGAAAAGAAGGCCCAGGACAGAGTGGGTTGGAGAATGCTGGTCGGCGGCCTATGCTCCATTGGGAGTAACAGGCGTAAGTAAGTAATTGATAGATTATATGCTTACAAGGAACTAATAAAACTCTTATTTGTAAATCTATATTAATATCACGTCTTTTGTCCATTCATTTTAAATACACTAGTCAGTTATAGTGTTACTCTTAATACTCGTATTCAATGTTTCTATAATTATAGCTAGATTCACACCTACCACGTTATAAATGCATTGTCTTTTTTCTAGAGATCATGGAAGACAATTTATTTCTCCATGCATTAGCTCGCTTTGAATAGGCACTTTTGTTAGTTATATTGACATTTTGGAATATTAGTTTTTTTCTTTCATCGTTGTTATTATTCCTTTAATTCCCATCACATGTATGACCACTTCTACTCTTTCCCTGTTTAACGTATTATAGTAAAACGTTCCATTTGTGTGGATACTCCTGAGTTATTAGTTAGTAAAAATCAGTTGAATATATTATAAAATAAAATCATTTAAAGAAAGTACAACCAAATTACAGAACACTAGCTTTAGATAAATATTACAAAACTTGAGACGGTTCCTTTTTTACAGATATAAATAATATGCGGTTGGTTACGAATACCTTAATGGGATCTTTTGTGGCTATCAGATGCGCACTTTACTCAAATATCCTTGCATCAAAAGAACAGTTTTATTTTGTTTATGCTTGTTTACCAAAGTACGTTTTTGAACATTTATAATAATGCACAGAAGACTTCGTCACCTAAGAAAACTATTAGGACCATAACAAAGGTTTTTAATAATAATAATATTAAACAATAAATTAGTATCGCACTTAACCGTTGTAAGGATTTTTCAAAAACATGATTATTTTTTAATTTTACTAATGTTTCGCAGTTATCGCTTGGTTGAATCGTCAGATTGCCGAGAACGATTCAGATTATGTACAAAACCGCTTGAAGCTTTCAGCGTTCCCAGCAATAAGTGTGTCTTCTGGAGTAGTTGGTCCTCCTCCTCCTATTAATTCACTTACAGTTGTTTCTTCTGGAAGCGAGAAACCCTCATCATTCGAAACTACTCCTTCATACATCCCATTAACGCAAAATTCAAAAGCTTCTCGTTTAGTCCCTTTATTTGATACACATACATCTGTAATGGTGTCTTCATCTTCAAATAGCAATATCTTGCAAACAGTTGACCAAAGACTCATAGAAGTACCCAACAGTTCGAAAAATAATTTATATGTGAAAAATATTTCTTCTGCAATGGATAATACGGTAAGAATGATTTTACTGTCTACTGAGAAGTGTGATTACGTTAATGTATATTTCTTCTTGTGAAGATATATTTACTAAGGAAATTCATCAAGTTAATCCTCAGCTCTGCTTTGTCGATGAGTATCTAAGTTACATCACTCGTGTTCACTCCTTTTACAATTAGGTCGAAATCTCTTAATGGGGAAGGCGCTTATTTATTGAGATTTTCTTTGTATTAATTCTCAATCATTTATGTACGTACAAACCTTACAAACACAACTGTCAGTATGAAAATTCGCACTTCTAAAAATGCTTGCAAACTTGAATATTTTTCTGTACTTTATTTATTGCAATGCTAGTTTTTCTTGACATAAAAGCAGCATTTGACTCTGTACATCGAGAGGTCCTGTGGCAATATGTCATTGAAGGGTGTACCTCAGAAGTATATAACCTTTGTGAAGACTATTTGTTCAAAAACTACTAGTTGAGTCAGAGCTTGTTGTGAACTGTTGTAGTGAACAAACCGTCATTGGGGGACAACCGAGTGTAATCGACGACGAATTACAGAGCATCTCAATAAAATCTGAGAACCCTATATTAAATCGTTAATTTGCAAATTGTTCATCAGTTGTCTCAAATGACTCAGAATCCCTTTGTTCTTGCATTTTCATACAAATTACATTCTTTCTTCATTCTTTATTGTTCGATCTTCTCGTCTCTCTGCTGCCAGACATTCTGTTTAGTACTCACGTCATATACTACTTATGTCTACATAAGTATCACACGCCACACTGTCATCTGACTTCGTAATTTTAAGTGGTGTCCATCAGTATTGTCCACTATCTCCATTTCTGTTTAATTTCATCATAGACCTACTGCTGGATAAAACGCTCTCGTTGACTTAATTTTCAAGAGTTGATCTTCTACCAAGAGGTTCACTTATTGACTTAGAATACGCAGATGACATAATCCTGTTTCGTGAAGGCGCTGATAAAATGCACGGTCTTTTAGTGACACAGAGTAACACGTGCTGCAGAACCGTCAAAAGGGATGCAATAACACCATCATTTTCTTCAATAACAGCCCATGGTCAGTAGAATAGAAGAATAGACGACGTAGTGCATTTATTTAGACGCCAACAGTAGCGAGTATGCCAAAACAACTAATTAATAGTGTTCGTTTTAATAGTCGATACAAATGAACAATAGACATTGAATATAAGTGTAGCCTCACATAAAGTGTCACAAATAAAAATGTAAATGGTACTTGTCTCTATCGCTAGAAATATTACTGGATGTATATGTCCATATAATCCCAACATCATGTAAAAGCGATAGATATACAGAGGATTAGGATTTTTAAAATAATAACTAAACCTAATGCTAAATTCAAACTAGATGTAATTGTTCTGTTATCAAGCGAGACTCTTATTATGAGCTCTACATGGATTAAATTCCAACAACCCTGTAACCTCTAAGCCTGGTCTCCTGATCCTTAATCAATAAGACCATAATGAATGTACTACATTTGAGCAACCCCGAAGTAAAAGTGAGGATACCCGTCTACTTACTGGGGTTGAATGATGGTTGTAAATTCTTCTGAGGGATTAATATTGAGATTAAAACTCGGATATTTAGATCAAGAGTTTAAAATGACATCAGCTATGATGACATAATTACTATTCAGACACAAGAACGCATCAATTTTGTGACAAAATCCAAGACCTGTTATGTTAAATCTGATTGGTTTGTACATAAGTTATATTCTCCTCCCAAACATTTGTTCTTAATCCCAACACTTCCTACTCCTAAAACACCTAAACCCAGGCACACCAAATGACAAGCTTCGAATCTTTTCCTTGTTGGGACATTATATTCAACTTTCAAATTATACATTTGATATTTTTGTATTCATAGACTTTTAAAACCATTTATAGATTTTATCTTCAGTATAATGGAAACGATACATAAAATATTGAAACTTAAGACGCTTCCGCCTGCATGTTTCAACTCATGACATTATTTACTGATAATAACTATGTCTTGTTCTGCTACTCGCATGCACAATTTCTGCGCGGTTTTAACTCGTATCTTCACTAGTGGTGTTTCCGAACTACAAGACAACATAAAAAGGCTGTCCATAGATGCGTAGACCTTACCAACCGATAAAGACTAGACCAGTTCTTCCACAATATAGAATTGCAACACAGCTCTGCAAATAAATGTTGCTACGTATGAAGAAGGTTACTAGTCAACAGACAATAGACAGAGGCATCTTCAGACAGGGTATTTATATGTAATTTACCGTAACTGAGAGTTTCAATGCTTCTCCTTAGTTTGTTTATGGATTGCGGAAGCTAATCAGATGGACACACTCGGTACTCGGTGAATGTAGAGCAAATTTGGACGGATCTTGAACTCAAAGTATTTTCTGGAAATTATAACCATAATGTTTTGATTGATTTTGAATTATCTTTGACTTCCAAATTTAAATCTGCTATATCATTGTTTGGAGTTACTACTCTGTCACATGGTGTAGTATTTTCATTGTGATGCACTTTTTCTGAATTTGAGTTAGTAATTTGTGAGTGGTGCTCTTATTCCGGTCTATTAACGAAGGATTTTGTAAATTTTAACAATGATTGTATCATCTGAACATAGTGATTTCCACCAGTTGGTCTGTCAGCTACAACATGGGACCAGGCACATATATGCATAAGTCTAAGTTGCCACACCTCATTAGTACAACAAGATGAACACAAAATTAATACAAGTAGTCACTTCAATAGTAGTAGTGTATAAAAGAAAGATTACGTATAAGGATACGATACAGGAATAAAGGATTTGTTCGTAAAAATTTTTATCGCACGGTTTAAGGAAGGACAAATTTTATACACCTTTGCCATTGTGATCGATTTTGAGCCATATTAGCCAGGGTCTCCATCCATTGGTTACGATAGACACGCGAACCTCAACCAAGTAGTCTGCATCCACCAACATGGCTGAGACAAGAAGTTAGTGACTTTATAGACTGATTCCACATTTTGGTTTGCCTGCTCCTAACTTCCTTTCAACCGTCTCCAACACTAATCAGCAATATGCGTCGCGGTAATCGGTTGTTAGGTATGTGCAATACCTAACCCAACCATCTCAGTTGATGAAGATTCACAACCTCGTCCACTGATTTAGCATCATTTCTTAATACCTTGAGTCTAGCCTCACTATTACTTACCCGAAGTTCCCAGCAGATGCGAGCAATATTTCTGAGACATCTGTGATCAGGTACCAGTAGCTTACGAGTATCTTTTACTCTTAATGGCTACGTTTCGCAACGGTAAATTGGAACAAATCGAACTGTCGCGCAGTATACTCATCTTTTTATTGATAAACTGATATTTTGCTTTCGCCATAGGTGACGTAAGTTGACAAAAGCCAGACGAGAATTTTGAATCCGTTCAGAAATTTCCATCCACCCAATACTAGTCACATTTTTGTAGTAATTGATTGGACAGTTTTGAAAATCATAGTGCTCACCAAATTTTGTATTGTTTAAATGAATGAACAGAATGCTATTTGATATACAATGCACAGTGATATATAGTTTGATTGGTTAAATTATTGAAGGAATGCGAACGGTGAGCAGACTTGCTTTTGTCCTAGGAAATTGACACAGTTATATACAAAATGAAATTCGATTAACGGTTATTGAGAACATGGATATTTTGGAGACAGGGATTTCGTAGGACAAGTAATCAGTTTATGAAATTTAGGCCTAATTATCACGTATTATTTTTCTCATTTGTTTAAATAATACAATTGTATCTGACAACCTTTTTCATCAAGATCATACCAGATTACCACTTTAATGCATTGCCATTTGACATCGATAATTCCTTAAATGTTGTGACTATTTTTCGCTTTTGCCGTAGACTCTCCCGTCTACAATACTTACTACTCACCCACCAATATCCACTTCGAGCTGTGTGATCCCTAAAGAAAATTGTGACTTATTCCGTGTTACAGATGCAATTAATTGTAAGTTAGTCACTCGATTACGTCACTTTTTTTATTTTTGTATCGTTCGTTTAGGAAATAAAATATTCATCGTGCTCAATGTATTAAAGTACTAAATAGTAATGCTAATAATCTCACTGTACCTAGAATAAGGTAGTGGAACAAGTAGATGTGAGAACCTATACTACATTTTCATTTTCTAAACGGAACTTTTCAGACTTAAAATACATCTTTTATCACAATATTATTCGGTACTGAATTCGTGATATTAATATATATATATTTGAAGAGGTATTATATGATCTTGTAGAATATTCTTAATAAAATGTGACTACGAGAGTTGGTGTTCACAGTGTCTTTAACACAGGGCCCTAAGTTATGGATACAATGAGTTTATTGCCAGTTAACTGTAAAGACAATTAAGGTAAAAATATGTATTATCGAGTGTGTCTTCCAAATAAATAGGGTGCAACTAAATGTGTTCAGGGCAATCTCACTTTACGGCAACACTACGGAAAGTTAATCTTCTCCATAAAATTACAGGGAACAAAGCAGTCTAATATTGATGTTTTCGTCGACCTGAAAGAGTGACTGCAGTGCTCAGACAACAGCTGTTTTAAAGTTACCAAATGCAACCATTTTATGGCAGTGTTTGCTCTCAGTCTTGACTTTGTGCTATTCAAACCATTGTAAAATTCTTTAAGGGAAGATATTATGCTTTTCCGAACCCCTATCGATATAGTAAGACAAAATCAAGCGTATGTCCACCATCGAACTTTGGTTTTTTCGCTCCAATGTTATGGGAATTAAAGAAGCAGTTGTAAATGGGCTCGACCACCACATTAGTTACCACTATGAAGTGTAGTGAGTAAGAATCATTTACAATTCCTTATCCTATGAATAAGTAAGATGTAGAGTGAGTTTATAAAGATTGTTCGTTTTCTCTACATACTCCTACACTTTACCTTAATTGGTTTGGATTCAAATTACAATTGGGATGTATTTCGTCAAGTTTTTTTTTCATTTATAGACCCCTATTCGGGTTCTTGTATCCCACCCGAAATTCCTGACAATTTGACCACAGGATTTGCCGATCGGAATGGCAAATCACGAAATATTTTTGATCAGAAGATATCATCGACCAAGTGCCTAGAATCCTTCGATTATACTAATGATCAAAACTATCATCAACAATCACTGGCTTCTGCATATTTTCCTCAAGTATCTCTTTGATTTTCTGTTTGTTATCATTCAACCTTCAAGTAAAATAAGCTAAATAGTTTGTTTCACATTTTTACAACTGGTAAATCTGCAATTTACCGATCAGTTTGGTTGCACTTTTCTGTGTTCGTATTCTCAACTTATAGTCTGTAAATTTTCTGTGAAGCTAGTGAATAAAATGTCATCTGTTTGCCTAGTTAATTATGAATAAGGTTTTTATAGATGAATTCACTTATCAAATTTGTTTTCAGTTGAAATTAGCTTGGTTCGTGCTCTAGCTATCTAATAACCAACTATATCCGAGGATAAAGGCATGATCACAAAAATAACAACAGGTTTATCAGGAAGTGAATTATTAACAAAGTTTGCATAAAAATGGTAAATTATGCTGGTCTCACACCCGTAAAAACAGGTTGTTTGCTCGGATACTTTTTGTTTTCAGTCACAAGTAGTTTGATGCTAGGATAATAGGAATATGGAACAACGGCATTTTTATAGATGCACATAAGGTTATTAGGCACTGTAAGGCGCAATCAAGACTGCAACCAATGGTATCCCCCTGTTCGGACACTTCGTTGAAATTCATAAGCCTCGGAGGGAAATCAAACGTCTTAAGGATAAATGATATTCTGTTTGGTGAGGTTGTTCGAGAGTACACAGCTGACTGAATATTATATATCTCGGCGATGAGGCCACTAACTTAGTAACACGCGTTCGTCAGCTACAACGCGGGATCAGGCACGTATATGCGTCTGTTCAATTTACTATACTTCACTCATTAATACAACAAGATGAACACCAAATTCATAAACGTAGTCACTTTAAAGTTAGTTATGTCCATAACTAAACATTCAAATGATTGTTTAAGCGACCACCACGTTGATCTGGTCTGATGTGTCTCTAAAGTATCCTGTTGCATGTGACCTTTCGATTGAAAGACATTATTATCCTATTATATTAATGTGACTCATAATTTTATTCATTTCAATAAGACACGTAATACTGGTTGGTACATTTGTGCGTTCCACTTAATAAATGTAATTTCCTTAATTATTGTACTACGTTCTTTAAAGATCTCTATATACCGGTCGGTACACGAAGACGTCTTCGATTCCACAACTTTAATGACCTTTCCTCTTTAGTAACGATGACAGAAATATTTGTCCGAACAGAGGCAGTAAGTACACAAAAAGCAGTCCCACATTCAAAACATGCAGTCGAACTTAATAATAAATCGTCTGCACTCATCATACTCCTTCAAAATAAACTTAAGCGTTCCAAATCGAGAGCAAGCCTATTCATTAAAGACAAACAAGTATACAAATATCCTAAACTTGGTACGGAACTTTTTAGTGAACACTTTTGTTTCTCATTAACTAACGAAAGACCACTAAATGATTCAGAACCAATCCCAGTACCTCCCTGTGAAATTACTAATGTAGACTTCAATGTACAAAATATCTCTAAGGCAATTAGTACATTGAAATACTCCTACACTGATGGACCAGATGGTATTCCAGCCAGCATGTTAAAACGTGGAGGTGATGATATGTGTGTTTTGCTTCTCAAACTATTTGCGATATCACTCTCTACAGCGTGTTACCCTATTGCCTGGAAATCTACACATATCATTCCCAAAATTAAAACAAGAACTGAAGCAAATATTGACAATTACCGGCCCATAAACATAACTTCAGTGGTATCTAGAGTGATGGAAAAAGTAGTTAAAGCGGCTGTAGTCCAACATCTACTTACTAATAATCTCATCTCGACCTCCCAGCATGGATTTCTTCGGTCCAGATCATGCGATACTTACCTAGTAGAGTACTTGAATGATATAACTATGAAAAAGATACAACGGACTCCTGGTATCAGTCCTATTATTGGACTTTAAGAAAGCCTTTGATAAGGTCCTACATAAAAGGCTTCTCATCAAACTATTCATTCGGAATAAACAACCGACTGTACTCATGGTTTACTTCGTTCTTAACAGAACGTAAACAGATGGCAAAGTACAATGAATGTCTCTCATCACCTAGACCAATAACTAGTGAAGTCATTCAGGGAAGCGCATTAGGTCCACTCTTATTTCTTATGTACATAAACGGTATATGTAACACCATAAAATTTGGGAAACCCTACTTATATGCTGATGATCTCAAGATAGTATACAGTTATAAGCCTGAGACCCTAAACGAAAGTGTACCCCTTATTCAAAATGACCTCAATAACCTAACTATCTGGAGTGAAAAATGGCAACTACCATTTAACCTCAAAAAATGCGGGATCATGCAGTTTGGAAAGCATCCCTATGAACTGCAACTTGATTTATACAAAAGTATAGTCCAGACACTCAAATCAGTACACGATCTAGGTATTAATTACACAAGAAATCTGAACTTTGAAGAACATGCCTCATCTATTATTTCTAAATGTAGACGGCAAATTGGCTTCATAATGAGAATTTTCTTCACAACAGAGGCTAAACTTACTCTCTATAAAATGTGTACGACCTTCCCTAGAGTACTGCTCTTTTATCTTCTCTAATATGAATACCACAGACAAGATAAGAGTAAAAGACGTTCAAAAACGCTTCACACGCCAACTGCTAGGAAGTGACCCGAATGTCGATTACACATATAGATGTAAGCATCTCTCTTTAGAACCTTTGTGACACCGTAGGCTAAAGAATAATTTAACATTTCTCTACAAGACGATATATGGACTCTCATTTCTAACCTCCTGTCCGACTGTGGTCCACGACTCAGCCAATAGACTAAGAAACAACGCATATACACTACTTACCATAAAACACTAAAAACAAATGCGTTGTAAGTTTTTTACAGTACGGTATAATTTATTGTGGGACAGGTTGCCATTGTCTATCCGTAACTGTGACACATTTACCAGATTCAAAAGGCTAATAACCGTTTCTAGACTCTAAAGAGCTTCAACCTTTCCTTAAACTCCCGCCCACCAATGAAGCACTTTATTATGGGACGCCTAATAGCTAGACAGAACAAGAATATAACGAGCCCGACTATTATTAATATGAATGCAACTGAATTACAGGACATATGGTTTGCCGTTTCCTATTATTCATTGTTTATTAATCATGGCCTTATGCTCCGAGCCCTCACTTTCTGTTCCGAATCTCTCTACTGGTTAATGATACATTATTCTTCCCAAGTGTCATAACTCTTTTTTTGCAAGTAGACATATAACTCACTAATCATATGGATGCTGATCTACTAAAGCCAAACATACGAAGCTCAAAATTGATCATAAAGTCTTGTGAGTTGTTCAACGTTTTACTTTTCTCACCCTAAAAATTTTACAGTTTTATACTCTTTCATATCCTTTAAAGGATTTGCTATTAGTTCTTACTATCCTTAAATCAAAAATAGTCTAACCTTTTTTTTAACTTTCACCATTAGTTATCTTCATAGCAGTATGATATACTAAATGGACATCTAACGCATAATACAAACTCTTTAACTATCTGATTTGCTTGTAACATGGAACTAGTAGAGACAGTGTATTCTAACCATGTGCTTTGATTAAAGCAGTATGCATACTTATCACAAACGTAAGAGAGCCTAACATCATAAAAGGAGGGAGTATGGCGTTACTGACCAGCAAACATGATGGTGGGGAGATAACTTCAATCCACCCATGTATGTATGGCAGAACATTTTTTTAAATTTCGGCTCCTTATAGTCTCAAAAACTCTTTCAGCCCTTACCACATAGCTGCAATATCGTTTGTGTGCACTCTGGTTGTTGAGTACATAAAATGCCACTTGTGGATAACGATACGATGTATATAACCAAGCCTATGTAGGAGGCTGTACGATCTCCAACCATCCGTATATATTTTAGTACCTCGCTGCAGCCAGTGTTACTTATGCTTTTATTATCCAGTTCGTAATAATTGTCATAATTTGCCTTAATTAGGAACTATATATAGGGTTTCATCACGAACTGGCATAAGTTATAATGCCAGAAACCTATTTAGCCAAATGGATGAAAGGCTTTCGCGTTAGAATTTAAGATCTGTTATTTTATACCTGACTGGATCGTCCACAGATTTAAGAGTGTTCATTTGAGTCTGGCAAAGGTCCTATTATATTTATTATTATTTATTTTAACACATAAGTATAGGTACAGGGAGGCACCAAATACATATGCGCCACACAAATCAAAATTGATTTGTGTGAGGGCTGTGATACTGCCCGGGTGCCCAAACCGAAGCAGGTGGTTTTCTTAGGGGGCCACACCCCGAGCCTTCGACCTGAACGTCTGACCCACAAGGCAGTGGAGCATCGTGAGGAGATGCAGTCCCATGGTAGCCGGTGACCAACGATTGGTTCATACGCCATTTGTTCCCGCAGGATACTAGAGCCAGCCCATGTGCACCATTGATTTGGGATCCGGTTATAGCGCCGGACATTCGCTTTTCGTCCTCTCATTTTCGTAAACAACACCCCCGCCACGAGAAGGCAGTGAGTAGGACTTCCCTGGCAGAGGCTATATACGCATGGCCATGTGAGAGCATTTCGAGAGGGAGAGCGGACTCTCCCCACTCTCAGCCGTACTAGGGCATTTGGGGGCCTGGCAAAGGTCCTACAAAATCCAAATGAACATGGCCGAAGCGAGCATCGGGAGTTTTAAATGAGCCTAAAGGACATTTGTCATGCCTAATAACCTTAGATTTTTGGCAGCTTACATAGAAGCGGACCACTCCCTCACGTCTTTATTCATACCAGGCCAGCAAAACCGTTCTTCTATAAGCTTGATGGTTGCACGAACACCTGGATGAGAAAGTCTGTGCAATGTATTGAAGACGTTGCGTCGATAATGTTTCGGCATGATCGGACGATCCTTCCCTGTAGATGTGCCACACAGTAAGGCTTCCTTACCTGTTCCCATCTGTTTGATGCGCAGTTTAAGTGTTGTCGAGGACAACTCGTGCTGAAGATCAGTGTCTTCTTTTTGAAGCTGGGCGAATTTTAAAAGTCGATTCCTTGGAAACTGTTCAAGGAATTTATGCGAGACAAGGCGTCTGCAACCACATTGTGTCGAATATCTGAAGTAAACTGCGAAATGTAGTCCAGTTGTCGAGACTCACGTGGTGAACACTTGTCTGAAGATGAGCTTAAAGAGAAAGTCAGAAGTTTATGGTCGGTAAAAAGGGTGAAT